CATGCTCTAACTAAAGAAACAATAAAACAAACAAAACAAAAACAAAACAAAACAAAAAAAAAAAAGGTAACTAAGTCTTAATTTCTCCTGGTCATTGCATCAAATGAACTATTTCGAATAAAGATTTATGTTCCTTTTATATTTTGGATCAGTATTCCAAAAYAGCAGAGTAAATTGATGGAGACTCTTGCAAGCAGTGATGACATGAATGTAACTTGAAAACTACTCAGCCTGCTGCAGAGAAMAAGATGAAAATGAGACGTGGTCAGAAGATGTCAGTGAGATACTCGTGGCATAGCTAGGAACTGTATCTGGTAACTTTTGTATGCTGACCCCTAGTAGGGTAGGGCATTCTGAAAAGTGCAATTGCTTCAGGGTTGCAGGCAGGCTTCAGAAATGCTCTGAACAAAATTCTCACTATYTTGGTAGATGTACTAATGATTGAGTGAAGTACAAGAAGGCGGTCCATGGCAATGCCTTTTTTTTTTGCAGAGCTGTTATATGCTGATCCTCTCTCACATCTCTCCATGGGCACACAGCTTCAGSAGTGGAGCTCTGAGATGTGCCATAGAACTTGGAATAGCTTCTGCAACTGTGCAAAATARGAGTGAGAATGAAAATACGTGCCAAATTCTTTTAGATTATGTCATCAGATTCTTTTGAGTGTGTTATAAGCCAATACCTTAATGAGCTGATCGAAGGAAAACAATTGTGACCTAACAAGCTTAACAGTCCCTGCAGTGACACAGATCTTAGCTTTACTGGGCCTGAACTACTCATTCAGCAGAAAGTTTTCCTSAGTATTGAACTTTGAACAGACAGAATCAATGGCAGTCCCTTATCTTCTCCTGTACAAGACTGAGATGGGTTTTGCTTTCCATTTTAGAACACCAGCACACACTAATTTAGAGTATGAACAAGTTAAAGAGTAAAATTTACAAAGAGTTGATTCTGCTCAACAAAAAAAACCAAAACAAAAAAAAAAAACAAAAAAAAAAAAAATTAAAAAATAAAAAAAATAAAAAAAAAAATTTAAAAAAAATTGATTCTGCTCAAAAAAAAAAAAAAAGAAAAAAGAAAAGAAAAGAAAAAGAAAAAAAAATAATGAATGTTCTAAAGGCTGTTTTGCACACATTTCTATAGATAGGATGCAATTGATACAGCTGGTTTTAGAATCAAATCAATAGGCAACTCTTTGTAGAATCCAAGGCAGTGTGTCACTAAAAGCTGTTTGTTAGAGTACTGCTTTTTCTTGRTTTTTCTTCAGTCAAACTCAATTGAAGGGATCCAGGTGACAAAACAGAGTGAAGAAATGGAATCTGCAAAGTAAGTTGAAAKTGTAAGGTACTTGTGAAAAAAAAAAGAGGATTTGCAAGCTGCCTTTGAGGCTGAATTTTTCCATTTCCCAGAGAAGTTCCTGGTAGAAGTCATTTAGTCTATGTCAAATATTCCCAGACAGCACAGCCAACATGCCTTGGTACTGGGTAGAAAATAAATCCATAAGGTAAAAGAGTAATCCAGCTTCCAAGGTCACTCAAATTTATGTTTATTTGCTCAAAACTGCTACCTTATACCTGCACATTACTAACACCAATAATTAGGGAGTATCTCCCCTCTTGAAATGTACTAACTTATTTCTCATCTTCTTAGCAGCCACAGGATGGTGCACAGTTTCAATTTTATTCACTATTTTCCAGGCTGAATTGGATTCAATGGTCTGAGTCCTGACTGAATGCTGTAGGCCCWGTTCTTATTCATTATAAAAATCTTTACAGAGATTTTTGAGACACATGGAATCAGGAAATCAATAAACAGAACCACTTGAACAGAGAGTATTYAGCTATGAATATATACTCAAAAGTGTTACATAAAGCTGGTAATTTCCAGTGGAGAGGCTATAACCTTTTTAGGGTCTCTTGGCCATCATAGACATGTAARAGGGACTAAGTATAAATGAATCTTTGTGCTCAGATTTCTTCATTGACAGTACTATGTCATCATATTACCCTTCACCCTGCTGTGTGACTAGAAATTTTTTTTTGTCATGAACCATTTTTAAAGTCTCCAATGACAAAAAAGAGAGAAAAAAAGTTTTCCTTCAAAGAAGTCAAGAATAAGATTGATGYCTTTTGTTCATGAACCCAACAGTTTAAATTAAAAGATCCAAGCCCTCATGACTCTAATTAATTTTGCTTTGAAGATGGGATTTCAATATTTAACTTTTTGCRGTTATAATGAAAACTTGTCTGCATATTGAATGAGTTTTTCCTTTTTTTTCCTTCGTAGTTCATCATAATCTTTTTGTTATTGGAATCACAAATACAGGAAACATTTCAAAACCAGCCAGTTAAGACAGCAAGCAGTTAAACAACTCAGTTTTGCAAAGATGTAAGCATGTGCTGAAATGTATGCATGAATAGTCCCATGTGTAAAGTTAATTGCCTAGATCAGCACATAATGATGATGCAGCACCACAGCACAAATAAACAAGTGATTACATGRACAGAGACTGTATCTTTTCATTTTAAAAAGGTAGTGATTAGAACATTACATTTCCTTCCTGTCTTTATTTGGAAGGGTGCAACACASAGATAACTCACACAGCTCCTCCCGAACAGTCTCACTAACTCTGGCTGAGGTCTTGCTTAGATCTTCACCYCTCTGTAGCCTGCAGATTAGAAAGMRAGCACACAGAGCACTTCCTCTCCTGCTGTTGGACTCCACTTTCATACCTCTGTGTAATTAACTCTTGCATGAATTGATCTCCTTCTAGGGCACACTTTTCACAAGGTCTCTTTCCCCCCCATCCTCCTGATGGCTTATTATGACTGAAGTGGAAATGTTACATAAAACAAGCTGTTTATGGAAATCTTATTTCTGTCACATGAGCTCTATTCTGATGTGACAGGCACTCTATATGGCTGAAAGAATTAAATATATTAATTATATCTGTCATTATGCAATTCCCCTCTTATCACCACTGGATTTTACAGACCTGGTAAAATATACTCTGAGCAGTAAAATCATTGCACCTTAGCACACTTYAGCGTTTATAACAATCTGACATAATAAGGATACTGTCATTGCAGAAACACCTTCCTACACCCATGTGGGTACTTGAAAATCTGTGCTTTCTCCATCCTCCTACATAAATATAGTAGCTTAGGAACTTTTATGCTGTGCCTTGGTTTTTAATGATAAGACATGTCAGGTACCATTTAAAACATAAGAGATGAAAARGGGGCAATTCAGCTTTAACTATAACACAGCTTTCCTTTAGATGYAGTCAACTGTTCTGCTTCTGTAAAGTGCGAAAAGTGTGAGAAAATATGAAATRGATAAAGTTTTAAACTAGAAAGCATTAAGATCCTATCTTAGGGCTTCTTACTCTTGGATGCCTAAAAAAACATAAACACCATAAGGTGTTTTAAAAAAAAAACCAAACCCATAAACACCATAAGTTAGACTTTGATGCCAGACTAACTCTACTCACTACAATTGATTATTGAAGATTTATACAAAYGAAAACTAAACTCTAGACTGTAGTGGTGGATCCAATCTTCTAAAGTATATATAACACCTATTSTCAAAACACAGGACAGGTTGTGAAGTCCATAGAAAAATATTCAGTCAGGACCTTGCTRAACTTACACTCTTGCTTCCAAATTGTACCATGAAATTACTGGACAAGTCTAGGCTGCCATTCTGGATTCTGACATTTGAGAGTAGGATTTATATACAGGTTRAGAGCTGTAGATAAAAGAAAAGATTTCATCTAAGTTTTTCTTAGAATAAAAAAAAATAGCATGTATATAGAGAAAAATAATTAAGTCATGCAGGATGCCAATATTTTTGAATGCTGATCTAGATTTGATGAATGTAATTGTCTATGTAGCTTTTTTTCCTCTTGTTGAGATAAATATCTAAATGTTGGTGATCCATATTTAGGAATGCAAAGGTGCTAGATTGAGTGCTGTCATGTTGTGCAACACATCTGGATTCTAAAACGTTAGTCAGACTGGCAATGCGTTCTGAGTCTCACTAATAAAGGCTGGTACCAAGCCATCCAGCATGGTTCAAGTAGCAGCCCTGAATCTCTTGTTCTCTATTGCTTTATTGCTCATTTGCCTTGGGACTGACACACTTCTGGCCATTGTCAGCGACAGGAACGGCCACAGAAATTGCCTATTTTGGCAACAGGGTTTTGCATAGTTTGCAGTGGTGAGACACAGCACACTCCAGCCCTTTTACTAATACMAGAGGAAGATGGGCTTCCTCCTGAATTTTGACGGCAGCACCTGGGAGGGGGGAAGCCTGCGGACCTGCCCCCGAGAAGAGTCACCTCTCAGGCGTCCGCCTGCGGCTGCATSGGGTCCCGCGTCCCGCCGGCAGCCCGGCCGGTGCGGGACGGCGGAGGTGTGCGAGCGGCGCCGGGGGAGGACCGGGAGGGTGCCGTGCCTGGTGGCCCTGGGGCGGGGCTGCCGCACGCCTTGCCCGTGCATTGGGTCTCGATTCATACATAAATATAGCCGGGCTGGGCTAGCCACACTCCTCTACCCCCCGCCCCCAGCCCAGGAAGAGAAGGGGGAGAGAAACAAGAAGAGGGGGGGAAAAAATCCCGGTGAGGTCATTCCAATGAGAGCGCAGGAGGCGAGCGGACAAGGTCGACTTTCCCGGCGGAGGCGCAGCCCTTAGGAGCGCGGTGCCGCGCACCCACGGCCGGCCCGGCACCTTGGAGAGCTCCGCCGCGCCGGGGCCGCGCTCGGGGCCG